GTTTTCTTTAATTGAAAAATATGCATTTTCATTCATTCATAGGCTATATGGTTGCAATAATAGCCATTTTAGTTCAAAAAGTTTAAGTGCATAGAAGTTTCATAGATGTTCAGTTGTTGCTTTCAAATTTCTTGCCATTTGTATGTATGTAATTTCACAGTATTTTCACCTCCTAAATTACTACACTACTTGTGCAGTCACGATTTTATAATGGTACAATTTATTCAGGCCGATGATTTATTTTATTTTTTTTTTTGTATGACATTAAAATTATTTTTGGAATATAGGTTAAGCAAAACAAATGTGATTATTTCTGAGAACTTTTTAACTGCAGGCAGACATTATGGTACAGTAGGCCTACAAATATTTTGTTGGAGATATGCGAGCAAAAAATTATAGATTTAAAAATGTTGTAACGTTGTAATGTTGTAAACGTTACCTGGTTTATATTATTGTAGGGTTTGAGAACTAATAGAGTTTATGCTCAAGTGTGAGTATTGACTTATTGTATTAATGACTGGATGTGTTATATGTATTATGTGTTTCTAGTGGATAGTGACTGATGGTAGTTGTTCGCTTTCTTTTGTAGAAAGGACAGCTGGTTTTCATCACATATCACCGCACTTATAGCACTATTGGACCAGTCTACTCTTGTTGTTTTACTGTGATTTTCTATGAGTACAGTTTGAATTCACGGCACGTCTCTAGGGAGCGAGAGGTGTGGATCAGAGTATCGCTTGACTGTAAGCAATGTGGCGTTGAGATCAGCGAGGCACCAAACGCCATTGACTGTTTTCATTTCGCACTCATTGGGATTATATCATTGCATCGCTCTCAAATAACTCATCATCATCAATTCAGCTCATCGAAAATCCGAACTTTCACGCTAAGTTTCATTTATTACATTGACTGATTCACACAGAGGCAAAGACTGCTTGTATTCTTTATATTGTTTATTTGGTGGCAATTATATATATGTGCACTTGGGGAAATAAAATAGAAGAAGGATATTTGTTTGGAGAAGTGGTTTTATCTTTCTGTACCAGTCGAATACTCCGCTTCGTCCACGGTGAAAGCCGATCCGGCGATCCACAGCACTAAGTTGATGTATTCCCTCAGCGACCAGCACAGATCAGCTCTAGGCATGACGAAGCGGATATCGTCCTCTTTTGGAAGGCCAAACAAAGTAGTTTCGCTTTCACAAAGAAGCACACAGCACCTTCACGACATGGCGGCGGCAACAACAATTCTACAGTGAGAATAAAAGTTACACCTTCTTTCTTTGCGTGAACATTTGGGCGGCGTTATGCAAATTTTCCCACATAGTGACGTAGATATGTGGGGACGTGTTAGAATGAGCCGTTTTAGGTAAGCGTGGTTAACTCTTAACTTTTATAAAGAATATCTCTTTGGATTTGAGACTTTAGTCTTTGCAACTTTACAGATGTTCTTTATGCACCAAGAGCTTGTAACACTCCAAAGAGAAAGGAAAAATTGAAATCGCATCATATGACCCCTTTAAAAATTCCATATGATCAAGTACTTATTGAAAATCTACAAATGATTTTAACAGATGTTATAAAATTATTAATAGCTTGTGTTAATGCACAACACTTTTGCTGCTATTGAGGTGTGATACGGGTAAGGTTAGGGACAGGTTTGGTGGTATGGGTAGGTTTATGGGTTGTTTAAAGGGTCAACAGTGTACAGGGGTCAATTTGATTATTATAAGGGAACACTGTTCAATTTGTTTTGATAAATGAACAATTATTTTCTTTTTAAAAATGATTTGTTTTCTACTGTTTATTTATGATTCAAGGAATATCCTGTTTAATGATATACTGAAGAGTAGTAATGTGAGTGTTGAGGCAATAAAAACATTTTTATTGCACAAAAATTACAATCTGTTATGTCTTTAGCAAGAATTTAGCTAAACTTAACCAGCCACCCTTCACACTAACCTTGTTACATTAGCAAAAAGTCCAATGCCCATAAAGATACTAAATGATTAGTATTGTTTATAAACATTTACAAATGTTGAATAGTTTCAACTTTAGATTGGCTACTGCAAAAGCATTAACAAATGATACATAGGTGATTAGTAAAGATGTGTGAATAGGGTAAATTCAGGTCTTTCGGGACACTTTTTGCCATTGAGATGACTGCTCATAAAGGTATTAATGATTAGTAAACATTTATAAACATTTGTAAATAATGAATAGTTTCCACTTTAGATTGGGTACTGCAAAAACATGAACAAATAATTCATAGATTATTTCTTAAGATGTGTAAATAGAGGTCTATACAACAAACAAAGACCAACAAATGAAGAACATATGAACTGAAAATCACTGACATTTGTAAGCATTTCAATTTCCATTAAATAATCATATGTTGATCATTAGGTAATGTTTAGTAAGTTCATTAGTAAACATTAACAAGAACATTATTTCATATTTCTAGCTATGTGAATATAATATATTAACTAATGATCTGTTAAGCATGATATAATTTGTGTTAGTGAGTTATAATGAAAGTTATTATAAAGTGTTACCAAATCTTGAATATACAATGAAAAGCAGTGAAACAAACTCTTTATTTTGAAGGGGAAAAAAATCTCAAATTAAATAAAATCTCAAATTAAACAAATAAATAAATAATTAATCAATCCTTCATCTTTTCTCACTGCTCTATCACTATAGGCTTCAGAATGGGGTGAATCTACAGATGTGCTTTGTGAATGACAGCAGCAGTGACAGGGACAGTGATGCAGAGGACAGCAGAACAGAGACCAGCTTGGACACCCCATTGTCACCTATGGTATAAACCCTAGATTTTTTAACGTATATTAAACAAAATGCGTCTACACTTTGGAACTGTGATAAAATGATGTGATTTTAATTCACCGTTTTGTTTTTGTTCTTTTACCCCGTCTCAATAGAGTAAACAGAGTTCCTCTCTCTCTGACCGGGATACAGGAGAGGAAGACCTGGATTCAGAGGATTCAGAATTCTGGCGGCTACAGCGGCGGCTGCAGGAGGAGGCCCGTGTGGCTCTGGCATTGGCCCGTCCCATGGCCCGCATGCAGGTGGAGGTGGAGAGACAGATTCAGCTACACCGCAGGTCTCCCGTGGCAGACCTGGTCAGTCAGACAACAGTCTAAGAATAGTGTTGCATTGTTTTATCCCCCCTGCAGGCTGTAAGAGCCTTCACTTCATCTCAGAGCACTTGCTTATAAGAAAAACAAAAATCAATACATTCAACATCACTTAACTTTTTGTGTTATAGTTACCACATCTGCCACACATCAGTGAGAGCCTAATGAAGAGGAATCTGAGGCCTGTGGACTTGAGGGACATGAGTCTTGGACAGTTACAGGTCATCACCAATGACCTACACTCTCAGATACAAGGTAAAGGCAGCAGACAGAAATATTCCATCTAAGCACCCAGTTTGTCATTTCATAATTTAAGATTTTTTTTTGTCTGTGTGTACTTAGTGTAAAAAAGAAACAATATAAATAATGCAATAATACAAATATAAATAATATCAAATTATATATATATATATATATATATATATATACTACTTTTGTATGTAGTTATATTATGCAACAACCAGAAAGACAAAAGTCTTTTTTCTAGTAATGGCAATAACGAGGTTGATTTGACTTGTAATTGCGTTGCAGGTCTGAATGAGGAACTGGTTCAGCTGTTGCTCATGAGAGATGAACTACACATGGAACAGGATGCCATGCTGGTAGATGTGGAGGATCTAACCAGGTTAGGCCGTGACCCATTTAAAACGCAGCTTAAACGAGAGCTTACATTAAGGTTGACATCTAAAAAAGGTCTTTTCTTTCATGTTTTTGAACAGGCATGCACATAGCCAGCAGAGGCACATGATGGAGAAATCTGTGACCAAGGGTAAAGCAGCTAATCTGAGAGCTGTCTGACCCTGCATAGACAGCAACACAACTGAAATGTTCCCAAGTCCAGAAGCGTAGCAATGAGATCTGTATAATAATCCATGTGACATCAGTGGTTCATCCGCAATTATACGAACAACGAAGGTCTTATGGGTTTGAAACGACATGAGGGTGAGTAACTAATGACAGAATTTTCATTATTGGGTGAACTATCCCTTTAAATTAGAGCTTACATTGAGGTTGGGATGAGTACATGCAAAAAAACCCACAAAAAAACAAGATCTTTTTGTTTGTTTTTGAACAGGCATGCACATAGCCAGCAGAGGCACACGATGGAGAAGTCTCTAGCCAAAGGCAAAGCAGCTTGCCATGGTCGCTGTGATTCTCCATTTTGAGTCAAACAGCACAGGGTCCAACCTCTTGTGTTTCACTATACGATGAAGCAGTGTACTCACGATAGACCCTTTTTATAGATGTGTGTGGTTTGCCTATGTTTCAAGCTTTGTGTGGATGTATGTTAATTATACATGCTGTATGTGTTCATGCATGCCCGCACCTTAGCTGAGGGTTACACACTCACCTCTGAGAAAATCCTGTTGATCCTTCATTATGTAGTAATACAGAAAGAATCATCAATCACTGACAGGCTGGATCTTTTCCCGTGCAAAATATCTGCTGGTTTCATGATACGGAATAGACCTTAATAGGAAACAACTCTAGTAGAAGGCTGGTTCACCCCAAAAATTTATTAACTCACCCTCATGTCATTCCAAACCTTTATGAAGATTTTCAAAGAATGTTTCTGAAATGTTTTTATCCATGCAGTGAAAGTCAGTGGGATCCAAAACAACATTAGACCCCAGCGACTTTCATTTTCGAAATATTTTATTTTCCACAGAGGAAGGAAATGCATCCAGGCATTCTATCTTTTTAACTCGTAAACTGCTTCTCTGTGCAGATTATTGCTGGATTGGCTTTTTAACCTTCTGCAATATCCCTCCTTAGGGATGAATACGTTTACTCTACTCTCTAGTTTTACTCTGACGCAGTGTTTGCACTGGCTGATGTGCTGTGTATGGAGCTCTCCTATCTAAAACATAACCAAAAATTAATATTAGGATGATGTTAATGTTATATTTGTTTGACGCTGCCCGGTGTGGTGGTATTTGATTCTTGTGTTCACAATGAACTATTAACGTCAGTCTTTTAAGAATGTCTATTTTACTTACTTGTTCATCCAAATGTGGCATTTCCTGTTTCACAGATGTAAATGACAACATGGTTGAAATGCTGTATATCTTTGTGCACAGATCTGTGAAAGGAAACTATGAACAAATAAATTACTTAATATGGGCCAGTATAACATGGAATTGTTTTCTTTTTAAGTTCCAACTGTTTAGCAGAGTCACAAGATGAAGCGCTCAACACCAAACAAGTGTCATTGTGGTTTGTATTAGGTCAGTCCCACAAAACGAAACCTGTTAAAATTAAAAATGCAATAAATAAAAATAACAGTGTGAAAAAATGCACCGTCGTTCTTTGAGTTCACTTATGTCATGTTTGTATCTAAGATCTCCACAGAAGTGGAGCACAACAGTGACTTTGTGAAAATAGCACTTTGTCATGAAGTATCAGCATATAGCATCTGAACTGAGAGTCGAGTAGTTGTATCCACTTACCTTTTGTGGCCAGTCTGGCCAGATTACGCAAAACACTCCAGATCTCCACTGCGCTCCCTCTCTCTCCCTGTGACCCGGGGCAAGAGTCCAGTACCACAATATTACATCATTTTTAGGAGATATGTGTCAGCTCCAGCAGATGATCACAAATAATAAGGAAAATAAAAGTTCAGTTGTTTTTAGTGGGTATTCCACTCTTGATGAACATTGTGGACTGCATAACCAACAATGTCAATGTATATTAAATGTAATAAAAAGTGAAAGAATGGATAAATACATCATACATAAAAATGAAAGTAATTAATAAATTATTAATGTAATTTACAAAAATATTCTTATTAATATATAATATTCATTTCTATAAATGAAAAACATGACACTGTGAAAGCTTGTTTCATGCTTAAATAACCGGTCACTTCAGAGGAAATAAAAACTGTGGTAACTAGGATTTACACAAGCTTCAGTCTGGATCCAGAACACCTGAGAAGAGATGATGCCAACCCCTCAGAGGACCTCAGATGATGCCAACCCTGAAACAACATACAGAACTACCACATTTTGCTATAAGTTTGATTGCATCATATAATAATTGCTGTTAATAGTGTTCATCGTCTGTTTGATTACGTCTTTAATTGATTTTCCCACATGACAGTCACCAATGATAAGCTATATTAGTGGAAACTTAATTTTCTGTAAACGATTTGTATCGTAAAAAGGGCTATAAAAATAAAGTTGAACTGAATTGAATTGAATTGAATTGAATTGAAATGTGACAATTCCACTTAAAATGTGACATTCTAAAGGAACATTCCAATTTAATGCAAGTTAAACTCAATCAAAATGTTGATTAAAAATGACCTTTAAAAGTATGACTTGTTCCTTGTTTTCTTAAAAAAAAATTTTTATAATAATAATAAGAAGAAGAAGCAGAAGAAGAAGAAGAAACAAAAATCAGGATTACAGTGAAGCACTTAGTAAATGGGGCAAAGTTTTGGATGATTTAAAGAACATTCTTCTGCTAAAACGTGTTTATCCCCCAGCACTGAGGCCAATCAACAACTTGCTGAAGACCTGAATGAGTTTTACTGTAGATTTGAAACTCCCAGTCTAACACCCCACACCCGCTCTGAACATCTCTCCACACAACCATCGACACTAGGCACAAGAACAGTTTCTTTCCCCAGGCAATCTACCTCATGAAGAGTTAATGTTCTCCCATTTTGCAATTAAAGTACAGTATGTGCAATAAGCTTATACTTATTTATCACCCTAAACCCTAGTACATCCCTACAACTTATTTTATTTTATTCTATTCCTATTCCATCTATAGCACACCTGTACATACAATCTATTCTTTTTTTGTGGTTTATATTTATGCATGTGTATTTTATTCACATCTCATTTTTATTATCTGTGTGTTGTTGTTGTCTCCGTGTACTGGAAGCTTGTGACACTATAACAAATTCCTTGTATGTGCAAACATACTTGGCAATAAAGCTCTTTCTGATTCTGATTCTGATTTATTTGAGTAAATGTTTGAATCATTGTTTTCACAGTCATCTTATGATTTTAACATTAAAACCACAGTTAAATATTGAGCAGGCTATTTTAACATTTACAGATTGACTCGCTTCCATTTTAAGTGTCCTTTTTACTTCAGGGTGGAAAAATAGCAGAGATTAATAAAAGTTGTAGTCAACATTATAGCCTAACGCAAATGCTGTCAGACTGAGTTTAACCTGGAATATTTTTTACGTTTTACACTTTTTACTACGATAACATTCCACAAAATTCCTATAGGTCCTTACATCACGACATCTCTTAAACGACCCAGTTTTCTTTTAAACCTTCTTTTACGTGTTTCTGTAAACTGTTTATATGACTGTAAACGAGAACACAACTAATTATTAAAAATGCATGAAATTGATAGTGATGCAAGGGGTTTTACTGAATAAGAAGGTTCTTGATTCTTATCCTGCACACACACACACACACACACACACACACAGTACTTGAGAAGTAAATCGAAACGTGCGTTAATTCCCATGTATACAAGCAGTGTGTCCTAAACTACAGAACACAACATCTGTAATACCACGGAAATTACAAAACACATGGGTAGCCGGTTATTTTCGTTTTAGTTAATAGCAACGGGTTTTGAAAAGGAAACTCCCTTATCTCCAAATGATTTATAAAAGGACAAATCCTGATCCTGAGCATTAGAACATGCAACGGTTGAACGCAACAATGCTGTCCAGGGTTTGTAATTGTAAGGTTTTTTTTTATCTAGCCTACAAACGATTTCGGTGTTCTATCCTATTCATTTCAATTCATTTTATTTATAATAAATGAAAGATTCATCCTATTTACATAATGTATTGTGAAATGTGATGTTTGGTTACAGATTTGGTCGTCAGCATTGTGTGCTTTGCTTTGCTGTGGCGATGTAACATCTGCGGTCCGGTCGGAGCGCGTGTATCACCATTGCGCCTCACGGGAACCTGCAACGAGCTTGCACGCTCACTGCTCTGGAACGTGTCAGCGGTGCTCGAGATGGTGAGTGTCATTCAGTAAAGCAACATATAGCTAATACACACACACACACGGTTTTAAGTCTAATGTTTATTATCCGCTTACAGGACCACTTGTTCAGCGGTTTTGACTGCTCACAGCAAAACGCAGAGGTGCATCTCAGGAGGCAAACGGTGTCTGCTTGCACACCAAAGGTAAGAGAAGAGAGTCACACTAAAATTATACGTGACCCTGGACCACAAAACCAGTCTTAAGCGTCAATTTTTCAAAATTGAGATTTATACATCATCTGAAAGCTGAATAAATAAGCTTTCCATTGATGTATGGTTTGTTAGGACAATATTTGGCTGAGATACAACTATTTGAAAATCTGGAATCTGAGGGTGCAAAAAAAAATCTAAATATTGAGAAAATCGCCTTTAAAGTTGTCCAAACGAAGTCCAATGCATATTACTAATCAAAAAGTTTTGATATATTTACGGTAGGAAATTTACAAAATATCTTCATGGAACATGATCTTTACTTAATATCCTAATGATTTTTGGCATAAAAGAAAAATCTATAATTTTGACCCATACAATGTATTTTTGGCTATTGCTACAAATATTCCCCAGCGACTTAAGACTGGTTTTGTGGTCCAGGGT